AAGACTGGATTTGAGGTGCTTGACCAAGATCGTCATACACATCGGGGAACATCGCTAATTGGCGCTAATAAAGCCTGGATTAATTTTCGGAAACTTGGCCTTCAGCCTGCTTGTAAGTGCCAGTGATGAAATGAAAGTATCAAACAGTGACCAGTAATGATAAAATCACTTCCGTGTGTTTTTGCTTCTTAAACAGAGCAAAATCAATAGCTTTCTAACGTCCAGTTCAGTAGAAGCAATCAAAAGTACTGCACTTTTAGCCATTTTTCAAAGAAATTAAAACTACAAAGAGCTGGCAGTGGTACCACCAAAATGATCCGGCTGGAGTTCTCGGTATTACTCAACTGTAGCCAAATATATAACTTCTCAGCATCCAGAAACAAGGAGTGAGGGCGCCGAGTCATACTAATTTAGTCATTCCAATCACGAGGCTTTTACTGCACGAGAGCCATAGCAGCGTATCGAACATTCTCAAGTTGCACGGTGTTTTCCTGTTTAGCTCCCAAATTTCCCGCAATTGTCAAACTCCTTACTTGGATTCTGATAAGTAATCGCTTTACAAAATTACTACTACTGAAAATACATATTTTCTGCTCGAAGATCGAATCTCAATGCTGAAAAGTTTGGTGCATGTATTTCGGTATTTGCCATAAACAGGTCTAGTGTCATTATTCCTTACATCGGTTATTAGTACTTCAAAAATTTGCTAACTTTTGTACTTTTCTATGGCCAGAATTGGTGAAAAACGCCAACAGCCAGCAGACTCCGTAACAGGATGCAGCGATGCATCCACATCCGGGCAGTTTCCAGATATTCCGCTAGATTTAGCTGCCCCTAAACGGTTCCGATTTATGATTGACCACCTGCTGAACTTCGATGATGACGAGAAAACCGAGAAGCAGCAGATGCCTCCAAAAGGCCATGATGATGATGATAGCGGACCGGGAAGTGTGGAGCCAGAGGAATGTGGTAGTGGAATTGCCAGTGGTACGGAACAAACACTGAAAACTTCCCCGCCTGCTGGGAATTCCCAACTGCTGCAACATGTCACTTGCCGACTGGAAGGACGAGAGTTATGGAGTAAATTTTATGAACTAAGCACCGAAATGATTAT